CAAATGCTACCACATTAAAAACTTGTGCCTTGGAGCCTAGCTTAGGCTTTGAACCTACAGAAAGGTCTGCCACCTGGATGAAAGAAACCTCAGCTTCTCTCTTCTCTTACAAGATGTAGACATGCAGCTTTATATTGAATGGAAAAGAAAAGGGATGGATGGAGGGCAGTTGTGAAACAGAAGTTGCCTCTCTTCTATCCTTCAACCAGTGTGACTTTTGTAGGGTAAGAATGAATGTCTGACCATGCCCTCAGTGTCCTGCTGCAGATCAATGCAGAGCAACTCTGCCAGAGCAGCAGGAGATTTGAATGTCCTATCACTTTTCATACAGATAACTGACCTGAAGTAGTACAGCATCCTTACAAACTCTTTAAAAGAACTCCAAACCAGTACTAGTGTTGGAAACACCCCAAAAAATGACACATATACCTATCTATAGTGCTCTGACCCGAAGAAACCATTGAGACTGGTGCAGTTCCCTTCTGGGAACTTGGCAAGAGTTAGACAAAAAAAGTAGCAATTTGTGATGGCACACTCTGGGTTTTGTTCTCACTCAAGGTTACACTAACAGGAATTAACAAGGGTGCTTACTGCAGATAAGGTCTGACTTTGTTCTGAAGTCTTCTAGGGTGAGGTGAAGCACAGACCATTGTGACACTTTAATTGTCTTGGAAGGACCCAGTTTCATAGGTAAAGAAATAGGTCAGCTACATGTTCAGTCCTGTTCATGTAACATGTGCTGGAGGTCCCACTGGGTTTAGTAATACTGACTGAACATTGGGAAAACTGGACTTGACACTAAGTGCATTGCTTGAAAACATTAACTTTTTAACACAAGTTTGTTTGTTTGCTTGTTTGTTGCGAGCAAGTGTGCACAAAACTCTACTGGGGATTTAAACAAATGGCAAGGAAACAAGAAATAGCTGACTTCAGATGAACAGTGAATCTGCTCCAGGCTTGCAGGAGTTACCCTGAACGTACCTATGGCTATTCTTGTATGCACAAAGGTCTGAATATGTGGACTTACTGGGTTTAAATTTTAAAACACTAACAAATATTGACTGAGTAAGTTACAACCATAAGGACTCTTTCAAAACCCCATGTATTAGTATTTAATATTCTTCAAAATAGAATTAGTGTTTAAAAAAAGCTCTTAAGTAGTTTATTTATTCTTATGGCCTCTGGCTGGAGCTTTTAAAGAGACATTTTCAGGTGTTCCCTCCTGAGCATCAGAAAGTAAGATAAACCATTTCTCTCTGTCTCTCTGAGCTTACAACTATGATACCTTGGTTTTAGCCACCTTCCCTGCCCAATGCTGCCAAGTACTTCTTTATCACTTTCATAACAATAAACCAGGAAAAACTTAGGATTAATTAACTTTTGTCTGACACAATGCCCCTTCAAGCCTTCTCAAAAATCATTGCTATTGATACAACTGACCACGTCTTATATTATACAAGCTCTGAAAACACAGTTTGAAACCAGAGGTAGAAATATAAACACACTTAAGGATTTAGCCCAGTGTCCCCAATTCAGAAATTAACTCTTTGCAATTTTGGTCCAGTATTTCACAGAGCCCAAACTAAGTCCTTGGATCTCAGTACAAAAGACTTGCAGAATTAGGTTCTTAAAGTACTGTCATTACTTTAAGTCAGATTAAAATGACTGTTATCCAGTGCATTATATAGCTTTAAGTTCTATTTATAGCCAAATCCAGTAGGCCACTCTTTTATACTACATTTTTTATTCCTTCAGACTGTAAAGGGCTCTTGATATCCCAATATATTATAACTGAAATAAGGCACGTACTCTAAGTCTAAAGCACTCATACCATGGTCAAAGAATATTCCTCTACTTGAAAGTGTGAGGAAAATAATGAGGAATAAATATTACCAGGTATTCCTACTCTGTCCAAAAGGAGGAACACAAAAAAATGCTACAAGACACATTTAAAGAGACTTTGTACTGCAACTTCTTGACAAAGCTTCTCATTTGTCAGATATTTCTCTGGAAGGAGCAAATATAAAATTCTGCTAGGGGCACAGTAGATTGTCACTAGTCTGTCTCATCCAGTCAAACACTGGAACAGGCTTCCCAAAGAGGTGGTATATTCTCCAAGCAAGAGGCATTTGGACAATGCCCTTAACAAAAGGTTTTAACTTTTGATTAGCCTTGAAGGGCCCAAGCAGCTGGACAGAATGATCTTTTGTAACATGCTGAGCCTGGATGGTCTGGCCGGATGTTTCCTCAGGATCTCAGCAAGAGGTCTGCAAGAGGGTGATAAATAAAAGAGAGACGGGCACAATCTAGTGACCTGAAAATAAAAGCTTTAATAAGCAAAACAGCAAACTCATAATCTGTACACACTATAGGGTTCATAAAAAAGGCAAGGGCCAGGGTAGGTTACAAATTTATATAAGGTAGGTTGGGGGGGGAGTCTGAGGGAAAGGGTCCAATAAAAAATAGGGATTAGGAATATCTAAAATCCTATTGCACCAAATTCTAACCAATAATAACAGAGAAACTATAGAACTTTCTACTACTATTAACATATAACCTTCCAGGGCACCGGGATCTATCTACAGGCGATCCTTCTTTCAAGGGCCTGAGGCAAAGTCTCTTGCCGATCCTTTGCCCTGATGAACTACAACATCTCCCCCTGTTTCATTTCTTAAAAAGTATAACAGTCACTAACAATAAACTTTAGTAAAACAAACATCAATATGAAAATGAACAGAATAAACATTAAAATGATTCAAGTTCCCATTTCCCATGGCCCAAGATTAAAACTATTCTCACAGGTCATTGTGGCAGTCCCAACCAAACCCATCTCCTCATCTTCTTCCCTCTGCTGGACTAAAAACAATGAACAGAAGGAATTTTTGAAAACTTGTAACATACATCTTAGCAAACAGGGTAACACAGTCAACATAACAACAGAAAACACACATGATAAACCTGTTTAGGTCAATGAGGTTGCCCAGCTGGATGTACCCAATTCTTGAACAGTCCATTAAATTAACATGGCAGCAAAATTAACATTATAACTATCATTAACAAAACTAGCAATTCTGGGTTTTTAACAGACAAGGCATAATTTGAAAAGTCCCACTTCTTATCCAGTCTCCTTCCTGCTCAACTGGTAGCTTCCTTACCCCCTCCTTCAACACGCTTATGCTGTGGTGGATGGATTCCCTATAGTTGGATAAATTCATGCAGAATAAGCCCTCAAACTCCTCACAACCGTGCCTGTTTCAGCAGCAAGAAGTCTATAGCAGCCCTATTCTGTAGGGTTGCATGCCTTACACTATCTGTGTCAGTAATTCACTAAGGGCAATTGATGTAGAATTAGTTCGTTTACTTAGCCAGCACCCAAAGCCATCTAATTGTTTCAATGCCTTGGCTGCAGCTACCCATGGAAGTAGTGCAGACATCACAATATTTGTTGTTTTTGTCCAGTAGATAATTTTGTCATTACAATCCTGTTTGAATTGATTAATAGATCTTTTTACTTTTGCCAGTTGTTTTTTATGTGCCATGGTGGTGTTGGGTGCTAGCATCGTAAGCCTTCCTAAGCTGCATGGGCCCCTTTTGATGTGTCATGGAACTGCTGGCCAAGCTCTATCCCCAGAGTGTTGCACTATATTACAAACAGCAAAGCACAACACTGACTCTCTTCTGGGTTGCACAAGAGAGCAAATTTTATTATTCCAGATCTTCTTTTATAGACAGGTCTGAGAAGGTCTGAGAGGTAAAACTCTCATTGGTCATTAAACTAACACATCACCATCACTGGACAATTGGAACGCCACCCCCTGACTGTTTCTTACAAGTAAACAACAAGGATCTAAACACCACCTGCAAAGGTTGTTTTCCTTCTCCAAGGGCGGTTTGGATTCCTCCTTATGCTTTCTCAGCCAGAGTGAGAACCTTGTGTGACTCAGTTTCACACAGGCTCAGTGCTCCCCACCTGCTTTCAGCATCCATATCAAAGATTAAAAACATGCCAGGTGGTAATTGGACAGGGTGACTACTGGACCAGAAAAGTATAGGTGAGGTGCAATTACACCATAAACTCATTTTTATGTAACTGTGTGGGGAATCATCCCACCTGACTATTTTTTCTCCTATTACATTTATAGGTCTCTTTTCTTTCTTTTTAAATTTAATGTCTTTCATATAACAAAATTTCACACTATAGTCCATTTTTACTGAACCAAGCAGTTCCAACTCTTGTGGTTCTAGTGGTGCATGTAGGAGTTTCTGGGTCCAATAGTCCCAGACATCTACAGAGCTATAGACCTTGGTATTCTTAGGACCATTTCTTTGCAGGGTGTGGACAGCATCTTCTGGCATTTGCCATACATCCGAGGGTAACCCAACTAGGCAGGTGGAAAAAGGGTTACCAGGACTCACTACAGAGAATTGTTTCTTGTTTTGTTATATTTACCAATGTTACCCAAACATTTTGTTTCCATTGTGGAAGGATCCAGCTGTTACCTTGAAAGAGGAGACCAAGAAAACTCTAGAGTGGGGAGTTTTGGAAGGTCATATTCAATTTCTTTAAGTAGATCTTTGTGAGTCTTTGTTTGGTCCTTCGGATAGTCTCTCAACCATTGATCCTGTTCTAACCTAATTCCCATAGGGAATATTCAGTTGGAGACAGTAGCGTTGTCATAATGCAACACATATCGTGCAGGGTCAGTACATGAGCTGAGAAAGTACCTAATACTAGACTGGTGAAGTATGGTGATTCCCTCCCATGCTCCTGTGGGGTTTTGCAGAGCTCCTTAATTTCCCCATAAACCAATGGTTCCCAATGCAGATTGGTACCTCCCTTATATAATGGACCAGCACTATTGTTAAGTCTTGAAGCCAAGTTGCAGTTGCCCTCCTTTACTGCAGTCTTCCAGATTTTCCCCCATGGGTCTTTATTGGGCTCTGGTAGGCTAATGTCCTCTTGAGATGGCAAAGAAGAGGAGGAGGAGGAAGAAGAACCATCTGACTCAACAAAAACCTTTTTATTAGACTGGTGTTTGTGTCCCAGTGTAGGTCTTTGGGTAGGTCGTGCTATCAGCTGCCCGGGCACCGCCATGCTGGAGGCTGTCCCTTCTGGAACCAGGTGGGTGGGGTTCCGGTTCCATTGAGGGGGTGTGGCCTACAGGGACAGTTCCGGTTTTTCTGAAGGGGTGTGGCCTGAGGTGGAAGGGGCACGTTCCAGAACAGAAGGGGCAGGGCCAAGGGAGGTGTCCCGAGGGTGATTAGAGTTGGATGGTAAGTATGAGTTGCAGTACCAAGATGCCAATCAGTTACATTTCTGGTGTTAGAAGAGAAGGTAGTGAAGAAAGGACAAAGAGAACGTGGAGGAATGGGTAGGACAGAGCAGGAGGGATCCAAGACGGTCTCTACACTGCCATCTTGGGCCCCGAGTGGATGAGGTGGAGGTGGACACAGGACGACGGATCCATCGGCCGAACCATTCTTCCATCTGAGCCCATCACGGGCATATGCATTCGCAACTTCAACCCTATATCTACCTCTGGAATAGTTCAAGGAGCAAGGGGAATAGGAAGAAGAGTCGGCAATCCCAGGAAGTTCCAAATTGGTGGATTTATCTTCAAATCTTAATATCTCCATAATCATTTGGAAAATGGGAAGTAATTTCTGAGCTGAGCTGCCTCGTTTGGTTGCTAAATCATATAATTTAATGTCTGAGTCCCAGAATAATCTTGTTTTAGCCATTGGGTGCAATAGCATCAGAAGAACTTTTCAAAGCCCATCTGATGATATTTTTTAATTTTTGTTTTTCAAATTTCTTGTCCCAGGATGGCAACTTAAACTTAAAAAAATGGTATGCATTCCTTTCTATGTGCAACATCTATGAGCCCATCTTTGGAAAATTAAAAGCAGTTTTTCAAAGCTACTGCTAAACTCTTGGAGGTTTTAGGGAAACTCCGAGGATCGTGTAATTTCAAAATGAAAAAAAACCCCATCTGAGTGACGGGGCAATTGTCTCCCTTCTCCTACCTGCTCTTGTTGCCGGATGCCTCACCATGGTCCATGTGGCTACCTGGGGGTGCCTCCCCTGCTGCTTCAGGCCTCCTGCCTCCTGATGTCTGAGCCGCTGAAGTCTTTGGCCAGTTCTGCAAGGTCTGACAAAAATCCAAAATCTGAAATTCACTGGAGAAGGGAACTGCCTAGTTGGCTCGTTGGCAACCCCCTAGTTGGGGTCCCTGTTTGGGGGCTACCTGTAACATGCTGGGCCCAGATGGTCTGGCTGGGTGTTTCCTCAGGATCTTCAGTGAGAGGTCCACAAGAGGGTGATGAATAAAAGAGAGACAGGCACGATCTAGTGACCCAGAAATAAAAGCTTTAATAAGCAAAACAACAAACTCATAATCAAACTCATAACAGCATAGGGTTCACATCATAGGGTTCACTAAAAAGGCAAGGGCCAGGGTAAGTTACAAACTTACATTTGTTGGCATGGAGTCTGAGAGAAAAGGTCCAATAAAAACCAAGGACTAGGAATATGTAAAACCCTGTTGCACTAAATTCTAACCAGCAATAACAGAGAAACTACAGATTTTCTACTGCTATTAACATACAATCATCCAGGGGATTTCCAGGGCACAGGGATCTATCTAAGGAGATCCTCTTCCAAGGAAGGGCCTGGGGCAAAATCTCTTGCCAAGCCTTTGGCCTGATGGACTCCAACAGTCATTAACAGAGTTATAACTCTTAAAAATGATGATTTTGGCAGATGTTCACCACCTTTTGATTATCAGAGATGCCCAGCTTCCCCAAATGAGCATCTTAGCCCACCTGTGCTCACGTACAGTCATACATAAAGTTGATTGGTCATTCCTTAGAACTATATGAGAAAAATGAGTCATTAAGAAAGAAAAAAGAGAGGGGAAAAGTGTTCTCCTAAGAGCTGTGCCAAATCTCTATTGGTCAGTTCCTATTCCCCACACTCACTTCATCTTCTACTAGATTATCACCTTTTCTTTAGTGCTACTAGGTCAAGTGTTTGTAAGATCGGACTAATCTGAGCTGGCAGAATCAGTCTTCTTAAATAAAACTAAGGGCACCTTTTTAATATTATTTTCTAGTTCAGCCTAAAAGGCAAAAGAACTCCACTTCTCATGTTCATTTTGCAATTTTCTTTTTCACCTGTCTGTTAGTTAAAAAGGCAGAAGAGACCTATGAATGGAAATACATCTTCACATAGGCAGATGTAGCCTTGTAAATCTGCCAGGAATATGGATGGCTCCCTGAGCAGAAAGGACAGGGCTTATCAGAGATCATTCAGGAGAGTCTGTGAACAACTTGGTGTATGAAAGAAAGCCTAGGTTTAAGTCTAGGGTACACACTGTTACCAGCAGCAATTGAAAGCTCTTCCAATGAAAGAGGCATAAGACCAAGCACAAAATTACCAGATTTGGTCTCAGTCCTTCAGCACTTTTCCAGGCTTTTAGACCATGACCTGATAAAAGACAAACAGACACTATGCTACAGCCTAAAAAGATTTGGCATAAATGGCTTAGTTTAGAAGCCATGTACTATCTAGATCCACAGGACTGCAAGCAGAGAGATTAATCTTCAGAAATGGCCCATATGCCAACTCTGACCTGTTTGTGACCACATATGACCAAAACACATGAACAAACTTGAGTTCAGACTCTGCGACTGTGAATTTTTGGTACCAAATAATTACAAAGAGTTTGTGGAATAAAATTGTTAACTGTACTCAGGAAATACATACAGGTAACACTGTGCAGTTACAAATGATCCTTATTCTAAATGCCCAGAAGTTAAAGATGTGGCAGTTGCTTCCCTAGCTAAAACTCCTCACCCCGTGGTGTGTATGTTGGTACACTTAGCTATTTACAAAGTTTCTGTGGAACAGTGCTTCTGTATCTGTTTGCAAAACAAAGCCTATAGATCTAGAAACAGTAATTTGCTAAGCATATTGTGGGAATGAACTCTAAAATCACACTGGAGCATCCTAAGGGACAACTAACTAATGACAGATGTATAGAAATAACAAATCATAAACATTATACTCTTTCAAATTAATCAAAGCCTGTAATGAATAATATGAATACTAAGAAAATTGAAACTGGCAGTTACCTACCAAAAATAGGTTATTTGAATATTTGGAAAGAAAAAAATGTATGCTAGACACATAAAGTAAAGGTCTGCTTCAATTGCTAAAGCCATGCACTGATAGGAAGTTTGGCCCATTAATGAAACTTGCTACCGTAAACTCATTTATAACACTGGAAGAATGTCAAGAAAATTCTTCAGGGAATAAAAATAGATGCTGTGTGATAATGATATTCCACTATAATGGTTATCAGCTAATTGGCCATCTTGGAAGCTCTGCTGACACTTCCAAATATGCTACAAACAGTCAAAAAAACAAAGCTTACCACTGGGGGGGCGGTATTCTTATAAGCTGTAAATGAAAGGCACCTGGAGGTGCTAACAAATTTATTACACAGGTGTTATGTCAAGATGTAGCAGGAAGGCTCATGAAGGAGGTAACAAACCTGTTATACCCATGTGGTGCTGCTCACACAAAGAATTACAAAGGCTTCTTTACAGAGAAGATGTGATCATTTCTCCATTTTTAGGCACAGAAGTAGCCTCAGTTGAATAAGGTTTGAGAAGGCTTACAGAGTTTTACAGAAGAGAAGCTGTACCAGAAATCCATGTCACAGAATGTCAAGATGTAAGTACAATTAATTAGTCTGTGTCCTAAAAAGTAGATGGCTAAAATAGGCAAGATAGAGGTTTCTCTTCAGTCCATAACCAAGTCAGCTAAGAAACCCTAGGCCAAATGATCTTCAGTTTTCACAGCTTCATTACCAAAATTATTATGTCCTGAAAATATTCTCATTAGCTACATTAGCTATGTCATAACTGTAAGTACTGTTAAAATACAAAGCAAATAATGCAAACAAGCTACTTCCATCTGGGGGAAAAAATGGAGTGACAGAAACATGAGACAGAATGTTTTGATGTTATCCAGAAGGCTTGGGGGCGGAATCACTTTCTACAGGAGATGCTATCACTACTCTGTGTCCCATCAGAGGGGAAAAAAGTAGGAATATTTCTTCATCCAAAAGCAATGTCTCTTTTTCAACAGACATTCTCAAAGGAAACTCTGACCATTAATTTCCTTCCAAATAGCCCTTCACCACTAGTGAAGATGAAAACCTTTCTTCTGGTTTCTCTTCATCTTGATATCCCATCTTCTTTCTGCCTTTGAAATAAACAGAGTCAACAGGAGAGCCCACATCCAGTATGTCCCTGTCAGGAACCTTGATGACAAATTAGACTGTTGCCCTGACAAGCATCTCCCAGAGCCTCCATCTACACCTTCTGACTGGAGCCTCCATTTAACCTCATATCTATGCCTTCAGCCTCTGCTTAGCTACATCACAGGTACACTTGCCCCCTACTGTGCCTGAATCATTGTTTGGATTCACCTGCCTCTGGTACCAGGGGACAGCACTGTGTTGCCAAGGTCATTGCCTGGCCTGCCTCATGGCTGCTCTTCTCAAACCTTCTTTTGGGAAACAGCCTCTTCTTGCTGCTACCTGACCTTCCCATGATGAAAATATACTTGCCTTCCTAAAAAAGTCTCACTTGTCCTTATAAATAGGACTGTGCCTTCTGCCTCTATTGTTAAGGAAGCCCTCCTTAACAATAGTCCTTAAATGCTTCTCTGATCTGTTACATCCAGTACTAATAGATTTGTAAATGGTGGCAGTGCATAACTCAGTTCAGCATAATAAAAATGCAATGGGAAACAAGATGTAATATTCTCTGACCATCTCCAAGTATCTATCATGAATTAGAGTAGGAACACACCAAAAATTTTGATGCATCCTCAAAATAGCCACCTGATTAGTGATACATTATATACACACCCAAGGCTCATACTGACTGGATCCTGGGAGAAGGGCAATGAGAAGGACTAAGAATTAGATCTTTGCTGTCATACTCACTGCATGGGCTCCTATTAAATTATACTACTTTGTCTCAAGGACAAAGAGGGTCTCAAAACAGTCATATACAACAGGAAGTGTTTGGTACTGTCTTATCAGCATTGAAAAATTATTATCCTGAGTGCTGAAACAGCAAGTGCTCCTTTTGCTCTGTGCCTTTTGTCTCCCAATCCTCGGCTCCATGGTTCAGATGGCTACCTTTGAGCTTAAACATGGATTTGGGGTGATATTCTGGGTTTCCTCTGAACTGCCCAATGCAAAATATTTATTTTAAAAACAAAATGTCTTTCTCTCATTGGGGGTGGGCGCTGTATGTTCCAAATTTTACAGGTTCTGTCAGTTCTATGCACAAATACTGATTTTGGAGCATAATTTTACATCCCAAATTTACTACGTTTTGCATCAGTGTTTTCCTTTAAGGTCTGGCAACATTTTAAAACTTTATATCAACAGGCACAATCATAATATCTTTCAGTTTCTGCCATTCCTAAATACTACACACCATTTTAAGGCTCTTGAAATTCAAACTTTGCCAAAGCCTTTTGTTGTTCTCACCTGATCTTTTGCCACCTTCTAAAGCATCCAAAGATCTTGCTGGCTCTGACTAAATTGAACAGGCTATAGTTAACAGGTTAGCTATGTCGTTTCCAGCGCTGGTAATTTAGTTAGTACATTCCATGAGGCAGACATATATTATTTTGTTGCCATTTGCCAATGAATGCTGTTAAGGTTTACTGTGATCCTAGAATGATTCTACATTGAAATCAGGAGACAAAAAATGGTCTCAAATGGTAGGTGAGTAGTAACTAAAAAAAAATTTTCCTCATGTGAGGTTATTACAGACTTTATAGCGAAAGAGTGTAGCTAAATTCTTTAATGGTAACTTAATGCATGATTATAGCAAGAGCACATATATTTTAACACATTCTCACGCTTACTTGAACAGAAATTTCCCAAGTTTATCTCAGGAAAGAAAAACAACCAACCCTCCTCCAGAAAAGAAAGAAGAAAAAAAAAAAAAAAAAGAGGCTGCTGAACCGTGACCACACAGTGATTTCAGTCTGAACAAACTCAGATTTTCAATAAACACAGCTTTTAGTAACTTAGCAAAACAATTTCTCCCTTTTCTTTGCAGCCAGTACAAGGCTGCTAAAATTTGCAGCCAGTTTTCTGCAATGCATCAGGCCCCTTAGTGGAAGACACAGAATGGTAAATCACAATATGTAATTGTCACTTTGAGTGGTTCCCTTAAACTTGTTTAGTCAGAGAAAGCATCTACTTCTGTTTTTCTCCAGAAGTGATCAGAAGAGTCAAAGAAACAGCTTGTATTTCTGACTCTCAGTGCAGTGAGCAGTTTAGTGGAGTTAGGGAACTCCACACCCTACCAGGAGTTGCCAGCCTGTACAATGCATAGTAAACCTGGGAGGGGTTGGACAATGGAAGTCCATGGCTGCTCTTTCCAGATGTCTGTTCTGCTAAACTACTTTACCAAGCCTAACCAAACACTGGAGGAAGTTACCTTTTTAAATCCAGTTTGTGGAATGACTTTGCAGTTTAGTTGCACCACAACAGCTGAGGAGCTGGTAAAATTGCTGTGAATTGTAAGATTTAATCAGGACTGTTATTTTTTGAGCTACAATCTCTAGTTGAAAGCCTTGTGCTGTCAGGCTGGAGCAAAGTTAAATGACCTAGTCAATGACTACCCTGCTAAGAAATCTCTTAGGGTTTTTTCCAGGAAGCTAAACAAAGAAGATCCTACTAGAAATGGTACCGTATAGTATTCTCAGAAATACCATGTATCTGATTACATAAACACTACATATTACAAAGAACTGCAGTTTTAGTAGGAGACTTATCCGAAAAACAACAATGTATCAAATTATTCTAAGTAAATGGGAGCTACATAAAATGGATAATAGGTAATCATTAAATAGAGAGCAGCTTAGAAGACCTTTTATCTGCCAAATACTAATTTATGTCATAAACACTCGAAACCATGGCATTACAATTACAACTCCAAAACAGAAAAACAGGTAATTTGTTTTTGTTTTGTTTTCATAGCGTAAACAAGCATTAACAATATGGACAACAACAATATCAACAAGATAAAAATACAGTAGGTGTTAGTATTTTTAAACTTGATAGAATAATAGCAAAGACAAGTAATTTTTAGTAAAATACGGTGTTGCTAAAACCAGATAAACATAGTTGGTTTAAAATAGATCAGTTTGACTAATTGCATCTGTCTACTTGTATTTGTATGCTGAGCAGACAAAATATTGTTCACCCGGGCCCTGATGCCATAATTGGATCTGTGCATACAGATCTCTGTTCTTCCTCGAAGTTCTATTTAATTAAATTATGCTATATACCTCTTTAAAGTAAACAAGACCATTATTCAGTTTATATGTCCATATAAAAGAGACAGCTGGAAACAATACATCCATTCAACACAATCACACCTAATTTATAGACAGCACAACCTCACAGACTTCCCTAAAGTTGCAAGAAGCATGAATTTGACATAGATCAGGAAGAATACACTTTAAATTAATGAAAAAAGGAGAAAAAAAACCAGACATAACTAATCAGAGAAGCAACAAGAAATTAATAAATAGAGTAAGTAACAAAACCACAAACAAACAAAATCCCAAAACAACAAAAAAATGCTAAAAGTGTGACAGGTGAAGCAGGAATATACCTCCCAAAGTCCAAATTTGCTTCATAGAAGTGTTTTTCCTCACATTATCTTTATCTCTCTTTCTCCCCTTCACTCCTTGCCTCCCAGGAAAGGAATGCTCAAAGTTTTCTTCCTTTGTGTTGTTCCCTGCTTGTGTTAGCAACCAGCTCACAGACCCTATCACAAAGGATTTATTTTCTTTTTCTATTATAACAATCTATCAAAATTTCTATTGGCTTTGTGAACTGCAGTTGAAAGTTAATTTAAAAGCATTCTTCAATGGCAGCAAAATCTAGATTACTGGCAAAACACACTTCTTTTTACTTTTATAGTGTACAGAGCAATTACAGGAAAACCCTTATAGTATTTTTAAATTACATTGTATATTTAACTTGTAACAAGAAACATGTGTGCTAAGGGATGAAACTGTATGTCATTTTTCACTATCTGACCTCTAAAGAAAAGTTCTTTCAAAGGACTCAAAAATCCTTAATTTTTAGATTTATACATGTATAAAAATTTAATTACTAACATATAAAAAACATATTCCAATACATTGGAAAGATTGAATATATTAGTATATTCTCATATGTGTGTATGTATGTTCTGATATTAGCATATCTAAAATAGATATATTTATATTCTCACTTCCTTTTCTCATAATAACTGGGTCAAACATAATAATTTCTGAGTCTGCTATTATGTCTAAAATTCATTTTTAAGCCGTATGTTAAGACTAAACAACTACTCCCCAAAATACTTCTTTGATCATAGTGATTTATCTTGTTCCCGTAGTTTGTGGGGGAACAGAAAAGCAAACTTCTAGATACTCCTATATTCTTAGGAGTGAAGTCTATCAGACTCGCAGAACATTCAAAAACTGGCCTTTTTGATTTTACAACACAGCCCAGAAAAGGATTTAGCTCAGTGAAGTACACCCTACACAGGACATAACCAGAGGACCACAGTTCCTTGCAGTTACATGAAACACAGATGTCTCTATCTGGGGGCCAGATATGTCCCCTATGTCCCCAGAGGATGTCCCCTGGATAGAGATGTCTCTGTCCAGGGCACCTCCTGCCTTTGGGTCCACTTCTAGGGAGCAGAATGTAGATGCAGCTCCCTTGAACTTCACACAGCCACGAGTATGTCACCAGACCTTGCCCAGCATCACTCAGCTTCCCACTCTACTCTCCAGTCAGAGAACCAGACATCTGTCTACTGTCCCACCTATGGACCTCGGAGGGCCCACCTTGAGCTGTTATTTTGTTGTTTAGTTATTGCACCCAGAGGATGTGGACATTTGAAACTGCTATGGGAGAGGGGTGAGGAAATCTGGTGTGACTCTGTGTGGGTGGGTGGGTG